GTGTGCGTGTGTGGCCGAATGAGTGAGGGCCGCCCGGTCGGCTGGCCCGAGGAGGACAGGCATGGCTGCCCTGTGTGTGGTGGGAAAGGATGGAAGTCGCGAAGGTGCACGCGGCGGCGGCCTGTGTGTACGTGTATGTTATATGGAGGTTTATTATGTAACAAGGTCAAAGGAGGGGGGGGGGAAGAAGATGAGATCTTGCGATGTCAGCCGGTTTGAAGGAGATCGCGCCTCCTCCCTCTCCCCCTCCTGGAGGGAGGATACGCAGCATGGACACATGAGAGTGCGTGCCACTGCCGGAGGAGGGAGGAGGGCGGGCGGGCGGTGCGTGTCACTGCCGGAGGGGGAGGATACGGTGCTTCGCCCCCCGCCCCCTCCCCCCTCCCCCCGGGGCGGCCGGACGGGACCAGTACCACGCGAGGAAGGGGAGTCGAAAGGAAGGGAAGCATCCATCGAGAATGTGGAGGGAGGGTCGAGAAGGAGACAGGAAGGGAGAGGTCCTTAGGCCGAGTTGCGGGCCTTGGCCTTGCTGAGACCCATCTGGCAGAGGGCCACGAGCAGGCAGGCAACGTAGAGGCCAGCGGCGATGAAGCAGCTGGTGGCAACAGCGGCCGGGTCGTTGGCGACATGGCCAGCGGGGCCGCTGACAAGCTGGCTGAACTCGAACTTATAGGCGAGGCCCATGCAGATCTGTGCCAAGGGAGTGAGGAAGGAGGGAGAGGGAAAGAGAGAGAGGGAGAGAGAGAGAGAGAGGGCGACACAGAGCAGAGTCAGTCACCTAAAGGGGCGGGCAAACAGAGAAAACCGGGGGAGGCGAGGGGGCCATCAGCCAGCATATGGATGGGAGCCCGTCAACACGCACACCGAAGATGATGCCGCAGATGGCCAGGATGGTGCAGCACATGGCGGTGCTGGGCTTGCAGAAGATAAGGCGCTGGAGCATGGTGACTTCTGAGGCGGCAAACGAACGGGGGAAGAGGCAGAGGAGGCTCGACGGTTAGAGCGGCCCCGGGAAAGGCAGGGAAGGGGCAAGAAAAAAAGCAGTGTGTGCCGAGGAAGAGGGGGGGGGGTAGTGCTCACAGAGAAAAGCGTGAAGACGCGGCGAGAAAAAGAACAGAAGGAGGGGGAGAGAGGGGAGGGAGAGAGGGATGCGCTGTTCTGGGCTGCCGGGGCTGCCTCCCGGGCCCAGGCCAGCAGGGGGGGTGCACATGAATCTCGCCTTCTGT